AGGCCCGCATTGCCAGGACCGCGTGAAAAAATCAGAAGTGTCCGTGCGAGGGCCCGAGCTCGGAGGCTTGGACCTTAGGGTTTAGGGTTTAGGGTGTAGGTTTTAGGGTTTAGGTTTTAGGGTTTAGGGTTTAGGTTTTAGGTTTTAGGGTTTTAGGGTTTAGGTTTTAGGGTTTTAGGGTTTGAGGTGCAAGACTAAGACATAGCACCGTAGCTGTGGGAGTTTCGTTCGGGGTTTGGGGAGGGAGGGAAGTCACGAGTTGCAATTTTCAGAACCCAGAGAGCCCAATACCCCCTTAAACTAAGGGAATATATAGGGTTCCTTAAAGGGATCTATAAGGGTTCTATAAGGGAACTATACGGAATTATATACCTTAAATTATAGGCTTCCTAATCTTATGATTTAAGGTATCTTCCTTAATTAAGGGGTATTTGGCTCTCTGGGAAGGAGCCTTCGTGACAATGGTCGCCATCAACAGCGACAGGAAGCTTGCAATCTTTGTTCAGGAACCTGGCAAGCTTTCCCCAACCCTAATTTAGGGTTTAGGGCTTCTCGGGTTTAGGGTTTGGGGTGGTTTAGGGTTTAGAGTTTTGGGTTTAGGGTTTTAGGGTTTAGGGTTTAGGGAGCCCAACTAACCCCTTAACTAAGGAATATACCTGAAATCATAATATTAAGGGCCCCTAGAACTTAAGGAATAGACGCTAAATCATATAATATTAAGGCCCCTATAATTTAAGGTATATACTCCTTCTTTAAGGGGTATTGGGCTCTCTGGGTTTCCCCAAGCAGCTGCCAGTGAGCCGTCAGCTTCCGAAGCCCAGGGAATATATCATAATATTGAGGCCCCTATGATTTAAGGCATATATACTTTAAATCATAATATGAAGGCCATTATAATTTAAGGTATAATCCCTTCTTTAAGGGGGTAGTTGGGGTCTCTGGGTTTGTAGGATCCCAGCAGCTGAGGGGATTTTGCATCTACCGCCACGGCAAGAACACGAGAAACCACCCAGAGGTTTCAGAGAAAGCGGTTTAGGGTTTAGGTCTTAGGGTTTAGGTTTTGGGGTTTAGGGTTTAGGGTCTGATCAGTGATATCTCCCTATCAATGTCTAATCATCTTCACTCTGGGGGGGGGGCGCTTGCAGAGAAGCATTTCAGCATTTCAGCCCCACCTGCCTCACCATCAGCTGCAACTGCGGTTGAAGATATAAGTCCTGCACTACCTTAAGGACCCTAAACTATGGGAATTATGGTACATTCCTTATTATGGGTAGTGCAGGATGTATATCATCAACGGTAGTATCCCCAGACAAGCTTGAAAAGCCCAAAACCCTAAACCCCCAAAACCCCCAAAACCCCCAAAACCCCCCAAAACCCCCCAAAACCCCCGAAACCCCCAAACCCTAAACCCTAAACCTCGATCATCCACCGTGGGAAGCCCCGCGGCTTTCAGGCGGGGCCTCCAAGGCTCCCGCGGCACGCGCTCCCGTGGCCCAGCGCCTCGGCCGCCGAAGCTTCCCAGAGAGCCCAACTACCCCCTTACTTAAGGAAAATACCTTAACGTCACAATAATAGGAAGCCTATAATTTGAGGTATAATCATAATATTAGGAACTACCCCCTTACTTAAGGAATATAATCTTATAGGGTTCCTTAAAGGGATCTATAAGGGTTCTCTAAGGAGAGCCCAACTAACCGCTGAATGAAGGAAAATACTGAATGTACCTTAAATTTAGGTTTTAGGGTTTAGGGTTTAGGGTTTCGGGATATCTCTTAATTAAGGAATATACCTTAAATCATAATATTAAGGCCCCTATAATGTAAGGTATATATACCTTAAATCATAATATTAAGGCCTCTATGATTTAAGGTATATTCCTTAGTTAAGGAGTATTGGGCTCTCTGGGTTCCGAAGCCGAAGAACCCCCGAAGAACCCCCCGAAGAACCCGAAGGACCCAGCCGCCTTCTAAGTTTAAGGTCCCTAAACCCCAAACCCTAAACCCGAAGCCCTAAGCCCTAAACCCTAAACCCTAACAAACCTCGAGAATTTTTTTTGGGGGTTTTTTGGGAGGCAGACCGGTGACGGCCTGGCCGCACTGGCTGTTCTGGGTGCCTCCCGGCAGCATTGCGACAGCAGCAATAACGACAGGAACCGCAGCAGTACAACTACAGCTCCCCTAAACCCTAAACTACCGCTGCCTTTTGTGATGTTTGGCAAGGCGAGTTTGGAATTTCCGGAAGTTCAGGGCAGCTCAGGGCTTTCGGGCTTTCCTTTTCTGGTGCTTTAAGGTTTAGGGTTTAGGGTTTAGGTAGGAAAAAGAGGATTGAAGCTGGCTGACTGCTTTCTCTCATGCCGGACCTGAAGACCAAAACTTACCCCCTGACGAGAACCCGAAGACTACTTAGCTTAGCCTTCTAGGATCCCGTCTTGTTGGCCGGCCCCTAAAATTTAAGGTATATTCCTTAATTCCCTTATGAACCCTTCTAGAGACCCGTATAGGATCCCTCTTGTTGACCTTCTCCTAGCCCTTATAGGAAGCCTTACTTACTATGTAACCCTTACACTAGCCCTTATGGTACCCAGAGAGCCCAATATCCCTTAAATTAAGGAATGTGCTTTAAACCATATTATTTAGGCCGCCCCCTATAATTTAAGGTGCAAATTCCTTAATTCAGGGGTAGATTGGGCTCTCTGGGTAGCGCTTATAGGAACCCTAAACCCTGAACCCCGAAACCCTAAACCCTAAACCACCCCTAAACCCCAAAACCCTAAAAACCCTAAACCCTAAATTATAGTAGCTTTCATAGGAGCCCTTCCCTTTGTAAAGCCCCGGTCGCTGGTGGCAAGGGGCGGGCCCGGGAGATGGCGGGCTCAGGGTAGAAAAGGCTTACGGCTTAGGGTTTAAAGGATTTAGGGCTTAGGGGTTTAGGGGTTTAGGGGTTTAGGGCTTTAGGGGTTAGGGGCTTAGGGTTTAAAGGGTTTAGGGCTTAGGGGTTTAGGGGTTTAGGGCTTCTAGGGTGTAGGGGTTAGGGTTTAGGGTTTAGGGTTTAAAGGGTTTAGAGTTTAGGGGTTCAGGGTTTAGGGCTTCTAGGGTGTAGGGGTTTAGGGTTTAGGGTGTAGGGTAGGGGTTGCTACAAGGATTGCGATGAGATTACTACATTGCTATAAGATGCCTTTCTACAAGGTTACTTTCTCAGGTTCTTACAAGATAGCTATTCGTGGACTATAAGATTCCATAAGATTCCTACAATCACTACTTTAAGATTACCCAGAGAGCCCAATACCCCTTGAATAAGGAACATACCTTAAGTTATAGGGGCCTTAATATTATGATTTTAAGGAACATATTCCTTAATTCCCTTATAGAACCCTTGTAGAGACACTTATAGATCCCTTTAAGGAACCCCTTTAAGGTACATTCCTTAGTTAAGGGGTATTGGGCTCTCTAAACCCTAAACCCTAAAACCCTAAACCCCTAAAGCCCTAAAACCCTAAAGCCCTAAAGCCCTAAAAAATATTCCTTAATTAAGGGGGTAGTTGGGCTCTCTGAACCGGTTGCCCGGAACAGGCTGGCCTGGCCGCTCTGCGCGGCTCACGCACGCAGGCGCCGTGGCAAGGGATCCAGCTCCAGGGTATAGGGCTTAGGGGTTTAGGGCTTCTAGGGTTTAGGGGTTCTAGGGTTTAGGGTTTAGGGCTTCGGGCTTAGGCTTTAGGGGTTTAGGGTTTAGGGGTTTAGGGGTTTAGGGTTTAGGGTTTAGGGGTTCTTGGGTTTTACACCCTTATCCGTTGAGTGATGGATGCTACTTGGAGGTCTCTTCCCTCAGTCGGACCTGTGAACAAGGGATCTACATGGGACTTTCCGAAAATTAGGGGTACCTTATTTTGGGTTCCTTCTACTAGGGATCCTACTATTTAGGGTACTATATTAGGGTCCCCCTATTTTCGGAAACCCCCCTGAATCAAGGGGAGAAGGAGCCCAGATCTCACTGCGAAGCCTGGTTCACAGACTCCTCCGAACGCCGTTTCGGGGGTGCAGAAGGCTCTCGGAAATCAAGCCCTGAAAGCAGTGCTCAGGGCCTCTAGGGATGGAGCTGCAACTGTTGGTTCGAGGCTTTCGGGTTCGGGCTTTTAGAATTGCAGGATGTGGAGGGCATCGTCCGCAGTACGCCGGCAACCAAAAAACCAGACATTTCTTCTAGAACTGTGCGCTCGATGGCCCAGATCTCCCCCTCTATCAGGCATGATATGCAATGTGTCTTGCGATGTGCCCCGAGCTTAAACCCCTAGAGCATCCGAAGAAGTTTAATTACTACAACCCAGAACCCAAGGCCCTAAGCCCTTACATCGTGCGCCCTGAAGCTGGGGGTAGGCCAAAGCTGCTGCCGCTGTCGAGGCCTCTCCTTCAAAGCAAGGGTCGGTTCCACTGTTATAGTAAGTTATAATAGGTTATGATAAAATGAGAATCCATTACCCATAGGCCCCTAAGTAGTTCCTTGTTATGGTTTATACTTAGAATCCTATAAGGTCATCCCACAAAGGAACTACTTAGGGGCCTATTGGTAGATTTGCAGGCATTGGCAGTCCTAGGCAGGAGGGTTCAGGCGGGTTCCACTGCTATAGTAAGCTATACTATGTTATGATAAAATGAGAAGTTGCTTAGAGTATATCATACTTTCTGATTGTTGCTTCGAACATGGGATCCCTGCACGGTTTCCGGACTTGGGGTGTGCCGTCGTAGGGAGTCATCGTTGCGCACATCAGGTTCCCCTGCACCTGAGACCATTGTACCATGGTCTTGACTCGGAAGCCAGCCCCATCGGAGGTCAAAGAACTGTTTTCGTACCACAATACCAGTAAAGCTAGAATGCTACAGTGGCATGATGCCAAGCCTTGTACAACTAGCTCTTAGAAGGATGTGTAAAGTGCTCTCTCACGTCAGCTCTGTACAAGGCACGTACCAACTCTGGAATCTCACAAACTCGATGCTCCTTTTCGACAGGCCCCCGAGCCAGCGCTCTTCCAGCCTTCCGAGCAGTTCGGCGCCACCCAACCTCTTGGATTCTTTGATCCGCTGGGGTTTACCAAGGTGGGCGACGAGAAGGGCTTCAGGAAGCTGCGTGTCTCCGAGATCAAGCATGGTAGAGTAGCGATGATGGCTTCCATTGGGCTGGTCGCACAGCATTTCGTGAAGTTCCCCTTCTTCGAGAATGCTCCCGCTGGCTTCTCCATCATGGACAAGGGCGAGGGCGTGCTAGGCTTCTTCGGCATCTTCCTCGCTTGCGCCCCACTGGAGCTGTGGTGGAGGGAGAACCCTGAAAAAGAGCCGGGCAACTATGGCGATCCCTTCGGTGTGAACATGTACAACGACGAGATGAGGATGAAGGAACTGAACAACGGGCGCATGGCCATGATTTCGGTTCTTGGCATCTTCGCCGCAGAGATGGCCACCGGCAAGGATGCCATGCAGCAGTTCGGCCTCTAGATCGTCGGTTTTCTCTTCCATGCCGTTTCCCGGCCAATGCACGCAGTTTCATCAGCCCTTTTGTCTTTCGGTCCTTGTGCCACCGCAAGTTGACCCAAAGTTCCGGATTGTTGCTTCGTGTCTGGCGCCCACGTTTCAGAATCCGATTCCCGAGAATCAGCTCAAGGATGATCTCAGACCAGCCTTTGACCCCGGCCAAAGTGCGAAAACATGCGAGGAGCACAGTCTGAGATTGCCCTAAACCCAAAACCCCAAAACCCTAAACCCTAAACCCTAAACCAGTTTGATCTCTTAACCTCTTGTATTTTCAAACTTTCGAGTCTCTGAGGGCCCAAATGACGGTTTAGGGTTTAGGCTAGCTATCGAATATAGAGGGAACCCTAAACCCTAAGAAATCGCTAAAAGTATGCATCGCGGCTGAGACGTCTCGGCTCTTGGATCGGAGCCGCGCGGGTGCCATGGCGGGCGAGGGCCAAGCGGGCGAGGGTGGGGGGACCTAAGTTGGCGGTTTCAGGGCTGTTGGGTTTAGAGTTTTGAAGTAAAGGGGTTCAGTTCAAGCTTAGCCTTCCGGTTGAGAGAGTTCAGGGTTGGATGTTTTCGGTTTGTGGTGCCTTGGTACAGGGAGCTGTCTCGGTTGGAGCAGCAGGTTTGGGTACACCGTATAAACGTCGGCAACCCCGAAATCCTGGAGGGGAGTGGGTCACGTTTTGCCCACTCTGCGATGGGGTGAAGACCTATTAAACCTTGCAACCACGAGCCCGGTACATACATCCAGCGGGATGGCTGCATAGACCGTCGATAGACAGATCCTCCACGAAAACTAAGCCCTTCTGTAGCGAAGGGCTTAGTGGGGGGAGTTACATGAAAGAGTCGCCGGTGTTATTGAGGCCTGGCCTGCCGTTCTGGAAGGGTTGCGCGCCATCTTACCCCGAAGTCCCTGAGCCTAAACCAAAGATGTTTCTGAGATCATGCTAAAGCATGGTGGATTGTAGTTGCAGTGTTTTTTGCGTATATTGAGATTTTGAGTCCTTGCATCCACTTCCTGTTCAGCCTTGTTAGGGAAGATCCCCGGCGATGTGGATCCTCCGGATACGGAGGCCGGGGAGCTGAGCTGCGGAAGCATTTCTCTAGTCGGTGGGGTCCGGAGAGTTTGCCATTAAGATGTGCTTACTTAGGTCCTTTGCTTGTTCTTTTACTCCTGTGTGCGTTCGGGCTGTTTATTTGGCGTGGCTTTTTAAGTCCACTTCTCGTGGCGGTCAGAACGTCAGAGCTCGCAAGGTGGCCCACAGTTTCGGAGGCGTCTTCTCTGAATGATTCGCTGCTACTCCGAAGAAGCTCCTTCTTTTCCACCATTGCGCGCTGCAGACATTGCTCTGGGACAATGAAAGCCTCATGCACTTATGGAAGGAGAGTATTGGTGAGCAGAGATTTCGCTTTGAGCCTTTAAATTTGACGCTGTTAGTTTTTCAGGCTCATCGTTATGACATCGAGGTCGGATTAATTTGTGCTACCATCCCCCGATAGTCCCTTTATAACTGCCCCTCTATAATTTCTACTAGAATTTGTCCCAAAGAAGGCTCTAAGTACTGAGACCCGCGAGCATGACACCTCAAGCGCTCCGAACACCAAAGCCGCCAGGGGCCAATGCCCGGCGAGTCTGCGGAGACTTTGGATGACCTGCGACAGGACAGAAAGGGCATTTCCTGACAAGTTCTGGACCTTAAACCCTAAACCTTGCAAGCTCTAGAACCCCTCATACGTCTTTGAGCCCATAAGTTGACTATGAGCCCTGAACCCGAAACCAAAATGGGGAGTTCGCTTTGGGCGGTATGCTTCGGATTTAAGGCTTAGGTTTGCAGCGGTTTTGAGGGGCTAAACTGGCACCGGGCGTGTTCTGTACGGACTTTTGAGGGAAAAAGCAAAGCATCAGATCGTCCAATATATATATATATATAGAGAGAGAGAGAGAGAGAGAGAGAGTGGCCGTGGTTGATACAGGGGGTTTGGAAAGTGAGGGCCACATTTTGAAGGATGCTTAGATGCAAGATCCTATGGCTTTGTATGCAAGATCCTATGGTTTTGTACACATTTTCTGAGGATGGGAGCCATGAGTATTGACAATAGCTGTGTGGCTAACATGAAAGATGCAGACCTAGAAATGCTGGCACCTCTGCAGGCACAAGCCCCGTCCAAAGCCAGCTGCCACCAGAAACCCGAGCATGCTGCACCAGAGACACTGTCGCTGAAATCTTGTCCTAGGTTCCTGAGTAGTACCCTTTTGCCCTTTTTATTTTGGGTTCTCCTTATGGAAAACCGAATATTAGGAAAAAGGGTACCCTTATTACTCAGGAACCTAGTGTCTAACCTCCCTACCTTGAAATGCCAAGTCCTACAGCAGTAGGCCCGACTGCCCCAAGGCCCGAGCGCATGGTCCATGCAAAGGAGTGTGCCGTGCTTCGCCAGCGAGTTGCAGCTCCGTGGCAGTTTGCTAGGCTGTGCTAGCAACTTGCGACACCGGCCTACTGTAAAGCTGGGGCGCGTCTGACGCTAATCCTCCCTAATCCGTGCTCCAACTCCCTAAACCCTGAAGCAGATTCTACACCGAATCGGATTAGGGTCCCTTTTAGGCTCTGCAAGGCTTGGGGTCGGGAGAAGCCATGGAGGCTAGCAAGTCTCTCGGGTTCCGGAACTTCCTTGCCAGACACCCAGCCGCCGAGCCCCTAAACCTGAACCCGAAAAACTCTAAACCCTAAAAACCCTAAACCCCAAACCCCTTCCCCTAAACCTTAAAAGCCCTAAACCCAAAGCTCCTAAACCTTAAACCCCTAAACCCTAAACCCTAAAACCCTAACCCCTAAACCCCTAAACCCCTAAAACCCCTAAAGCCCCAACCCTTTGGAGACTCCCAGGCGGGATTGGAGGCCGAAAACGTGGAACTCCAGGCGCCGGCACTGCTTTGGGGGTTTCTTGGGCTCCCTTAAATGGAGGAAGGAAGGACGGGGAAACAAAAGCTGTTCCTATGTGTTTTAAGATTTTTAAGCGATATCCCGCAGTTTAAGGGCTTTTGGGGGGTTTTCGGAGGTTCTGGGAAGTATCCGCATATCAGGCCAGGGTTTTCGCAGGTACTCTGCCGTGCTGCGGCTTTCGGGCTTAGCTCCGTCGGTTCAGGGCTGTGGTGGACTTGCGGATCTGAGAGCTTTTCTGCCAGGCCCTCGTGCGTGAGTGGCGGCAGTGGTACTCGCAGAGCTGCCTGGCAAGGGAGAAGCTACCGGAGTATGGGATTTCAACCAGTTTAGGCTTTAGGGTTTAGGGGTTTAGGGTTTAGGGGTTTAGGGGTTTAGGGTTTAGGGTTTCGGGGTTTAGGGTTTAGGGGTTTAGGGTTCAGGGGTTTAGGGCTTCAAGTTTTCTGAGTGCTGGGATTTGTCCTCCTCCTCCTCCTGCTGCTTTCGTCGTAGCGGCACTGTGCGGTTGGCTTGTTACGGCGAGCCATCTGAGTGCCTTTCGGGACTCTCTGGACCCTCGCCACCTTGTTCTTTAAAACCTCGGACCCCAGACGCGAATCCCCGAACCCTTGGAATTTGAGGCCTTGGGGGCCCAAGCCGACATGGTAGGTCCGGACTCCTGAACCCGAATTCCTAGATATGGCACCTGCCTTCAGGGGTGAGAGCCTTACTCGTTTCAACGATCTGCGCGCGCGGCAATTTCTGAGTTTTTTTACCTAGATTTTTATCCAAAAAAGTGTTGGTTTCCTTGGCCCCGGGATTCGGGAGTTCATAACCTCTAGATTATCCATACAATTGGTGGTGCAACACGCCTCCAAAGCAAAGGGCCATGTTGCTCTTCAGGTTTTCAGGAGGCCTCGCTGAACCCTCAACCCCCAACGGCACACCCCTGAAGCCTAAGGCCAAAATCCAAAACCCCTAGACCCTCAACCCTAAGTCCCTGAAGCCGAAAGCCCCCCTTACCCCCCCCCCCCTTATTTTCCTCCTAAAAGTACCCCTTGTCGGTAGCCCCCCAGCCCTAAACCCTAAACTCGGCCCCAAAAAACCTCAACCCTGGGCCCTAAACC